TAGGGAAAGCAGCAAGCATTCCAGCTAGAAAGAGAGAAAGGAAAGGAACATTAAAATTCAAAGCATACACAGCCTCAGCCTTAAAGATCGATACTTTCAGGATGTGTAGTTCAAAAGCAACTTTCTTCAATTCTTCTATTGCAGAAAGACATACCACATAGATTAGGTAAATGTGAAATTTTATTGTCTAGATTGAGTACAGTCTGAAAGTGAGTACAGTCTGAAAGACTTTTCTCTAGTCTTTTCTAGAAATTCACACCCTACCATGTGAACTTCCTGCATCTACTGCCCTTCAGGCATGTCTCCTTTCTGCAAACTCAGGAACACATATTATTTCAAAAAAGTGGAAGAGTGGTGAGGAGGGAAATATCTTCCCAAAAATCCCTCAATTTGAAGAGTAGGCCAGAAGCATTTATTGGGGTTTGCTTACTTCCCTGAATAACATACAGCTATAAAAATCTTACATTTCTCACAGCATAATCTCACAGGCCTGTCTAGGGTCTAAGAGGTTTGCCACACATCTAAACTCATGCTTTGACTATATTAATTTTTCCTGAAGAGACAATTTGGAAGGGAAGAGGGGATAGGTTTACTGTATACTCCAAAAGGCAGCTCCCACTTGCCCCAGATCAACATTCTTGATTGGCTGATCAGTGCTACAACAAAGTACCACTGTCAACCTGGATGAAGGGCAATGAAGCTGGTGAAGGGTCTAGAGCACAAGTCTTATGAGGAGCGGCTGAGGGAACTGGGGTTGTTTAGTCTGGAGAAAAGGAGAATCAGGGGAGACCTTATCACTCCCTACAACTACCTGAAAGGAGGTTGTAGCGAGGTGGGTGTTGGTCTCTTCTGCCAAGTAGCAAGAGACAGGACAAGAGGAAATGGCCTCAAGCTGCGCCAGAGGAGGTTTAGATGGGGTATTAGGAAAAATTTCTTCACAGAAAGGGTTGTCAAGCATTGGAACAGGCTGCCCAGGGCAGTGGTTGAGTCCCGATCCCTGGAGGTATTTAAAAGATGTGTAGATGTGGCGCTTAGGGACATAGTTTAGTGGTGGACTTGGCAGTGTTAGGTTAACGGTTGACCTCAATGGTCCTAAAGGTCTTTTCCAACCGAGACAATTCTATGATTCTATAAACAAACATTCTGGCAAATACAAACAGTGCAGAACACACAAGCAGTATGATCAGATCTATAAACTCTATAGCTTTTTTAAAAGGCAAAATATTAAAGTGACCATAGAAATTAACCTATGCTGCTTAATGACTACTGAAAGTTGCTTTTGTAACAAAAAGGATAAAGGATGTTGTAACAGATAATTATTCCCCAAAGTTATCAAACCATTACAGATCTCACACTGATCTCTCAGTACCTGAATAAGGTGACAGAACTTTTCCATCTCTGCTGGTTGCCAGTGTGTCCCTGTAAAAGCAGTCATCTTCAATACAAGGGTTTTTTTCTGCTTTCCAATTAAAATTATGCCCTATTCCAGGTGCTATCAGAGGCTTCCACTGAGATCAACACTAAAACACAACAAACACCCTTTTGTAGTGTTACTAATTAAACAAAAGTACAGAATAATCCAGTTCTTTGCTTATATTAATTTGTTCTTAATTTTGCCCCTTAATCTTACACTGACTGGTAGTTTTACTTTGAAAGCCACTACAGTAATTTCAAGGACACTCTGCAATGGATATGTGAAGGCAGAATTAAGCCCTTAGTCATTCCTCAGATAACAAACAAACAAGCAACCTGCAAGAAAGGACTATTAATCCCTTTCCTATTCTCCTGAATTACAAGTCTTCATTCTACAGACAAAACTACAGCTCCTACTTGCCAGAGAGGCGCAGTGACATCTACCTTCCTGCAAGTCCTGTCACCTGCACCACAGCAGTGGAAAGACCATCCAAGAGTTTTACATTTTGGAGGCTGATAACTTTGTTTAGCTGGAGTGTCTTCAATACAATATAAGGAACACTCTTGAGAATTCCTTGTAGATTTCAAGCCCTTACTCCAAACCACAGAAGGAGTAACAGCCACCCAGTTCAGATACAATTGTGTGTTTAGCTAGGTGAAATGTAGTTTTCCTCCAGCTCATTCTCAAAAACAGCAACTTTAAAACTTCAGCCTGGGACAGGCACCTGGCATAGAAAACTACATCCTGAACTGCTTGAAATGTCCAAAGAAGTAAGTTACTGAAAAGAGGGTTGCATGGCAAATTGTTAACTAGTGTAACAGCCAGCACAGCCAACACATGACATTTCAACTTCATGTATCAGGTACAAAAGAAAAAATAGATTTTAATAGAACAGTCAAAAGAAAGGTACACTACTTTGGCTGCTTATTTAAACCATATGTGGATCATTTAATGTAATTCAGTGACAATGAAGTATTACAATTCAGCAAAATTTGACGAATGGAAATGTTTTCATATTTTCTTCCCTTTTCCCAAAGGGCTATAATGCTGAGCAAGGGCGTGAGGTCATTGAGAACTTATGCCGATGATTCAGCTGGATGCTCAGCAAATTGGTATGCAGTGCTTCCCAATGATGGTTTCAGACCATTTCACTCTCACTATCAATTCTGTTTCTAGTTATATTAAGACATTTCACTTTATCCTTCAGGAGACAGAAAAACATATTAAGTTAGTGGTCCAGGTGCTGGCAACTAATGAAGCAAACACATTTCCTGATCAATGTACCCGCTATTGTATACACTCATATGTGAGCTACACAACATTTCAGTGGTCGGAACAGGCTTTTAAGTTCAACCTTTGCATTCATCAGTACCATAAGGAGAGACTCAACAGTTAACTTGACTGATATACACAAAAGTTTTAACTAGGTCCTTAAATGGCCTAAGTCCTACGCCAGAACTGCTAAAAACAGAAGTAATATCCCTAACTATTACACCACTACAACATCCATATAAATGCCAGCACTACCCATACTGGCACAAAGAATTTGAGAGCAAAAATTCCTTACTCCAACCACAGCTGTGAATATGGACATCTAAATCAAAGGTTTGAACTCTGCTGTTTGGAGAGACAGTGGCCAGAATCAACTCACCTCAGATATGCAGAATTCCCTGTATCATAAACCAATGCATTACAAACAGAAAACAGAAATATACTTAAGGAGGTGTCTGAGTATTCAGCTAAAACAAATGAGAACTTTCGCAATAATCAAATCTATGCAGATATACTTACCAGACATTCTGATTAAATATACAATACATAACATATAAAATATAGTATATATATTTTTAAAAAAATACACGTATACAAAACACCTGCCTAAGAATAAAGAACATAGCTTATTGGTTTGCTAGACAAGTCTAAAGCAATCCACCTCGATGCCACAGCTGAACAAAGTCGCTTTTTTCAGTCTCACGTGATCAGAACTTAACACTTTCTGAAGAATGAAGGAAAAAAAGCCATTCTTCTCCTAGGAACTCAAGTTTCAGAACAGACTCCTTCAAACAGCTTGACAGCATTTTCAAGGGGGCTTTAATCAAGGTTTGCAAAAGATGTCTAGGATACACTGCCTTGTTTTTTCCATATTGTTGGACTTGTTTTCATGCCACTCTGCAATCACATCCAGAGGCACCTCAAAACATGGGCCTAACTGGGCCCTTGACTGCACACAGGCTACTAAGGACTTTCTCTCTGTTTCAGTCCCTCTCATAGAATCATCATAGAATCGTAGAATCGTTTAGGTTGGAAAAGACCTTTAAGATCATCCAGTCCAACCATTAACCTACACTACCAAGCCCACTCTAGACTAATCAAGGGTAGACCAGACTAAACCATATCCCGAAGTGCCACATCTACCCGTTTTTTAAACGCCTCCAGGGATGGTGACTCCACCACCTCTCTGGGCAGCCTGTTCCAATGCCTGACCACCCTTTCCGTAAAGAAATTTTTCCTAATTTCCAGTCTAAACCTCCCCTGGCGCAGCTTAAGCTCATGATCCAGTCAGCACTACCAGAAATATAGCTGAATAAACTGTTAAACTTCTTGATCAAATCACCCGAATGTCAGCAGGCCACCTTCCTTCCTACTCATAGCACTGTAGAAACAAGCATCCTTTTAATGATAAAATCCCCTAAAAACACTAGAGTTCAATTCACATTTTTATAAACTAGTTGGAAACTTTAATCAGTTTTTCTTCCTCATCTTCTCCAATCTGCCAATTCTTTAAGTCAAGAAACGTCCAACAGTCCTGATATTGCTGGCTGCATTTAGGGAATTCTACACCAGCCAGAGACTGGTAAGGAAGAAATTCAAGCTTTCTCTGACCTTTTCAAGAGGTCCAAACTCTCTGGCTCACAAAAAAAACCCCAAGCAGCAGTGAAAGCAAACAGGAAAAGGGCCAAGCCCTGAAGGGAAAAGTGTTCCTTCTAAAGTAACTAAGGCATATGCTTCAAAGAATTAATACGGGACTGTTTGGATGTTTTGTTAAGTTCAATGTTTTACCCAGACAAGTCAATCTTTCCTGAATTTTAACATACATCCTTTCTCCTCCCAAGTGCTAGCGCAGCATGCCTCACTTTTTATTAAATCTACATCACATATACAAGGGTACTATAGCAGTGTGTAAATCATTTAATCAATACTGCACTGATTTTGTTTAGCAATACAGAATTACTTAATGCAACTCAAGATTTTTAATAATTGGAAATTCTGAGGTATTTATCCTTGTTAAAAAAAAAAAAAAAGGCACTTGCACCTGTTCCATGGGTGTGCTCTGCCAGAACAGTTCCAAAATCCTTTGTAACAAGAGCTTTTTACTGTTTCAAAGATGGATCCAACTATCTATGTAAACTAACTGTCATTGGTACACAAGGAAACTCTTTGCGTTAGAATGTTCAAGGCATGCTATTGTCTTTCTATTCAACTACTTTAAGTAATTAAATTGGTTTAAAAGATTAGTTTATAAATTTAAGGA